AAAAGCCCTCAGTTTGATTTGTTCCTCGGTAACTCCATTTGGGCACATGCTTGTGCAAACAATATGGAATTCCGAGAGATGTTTGTTCGGATCCTCTCCTCTTAGCCCGTGGAAGGAAGGAAGTAGATGAATAAGCCCCGATTTGAGCTCAAAAGTATTACCTTCATCAAGTGTAGGGAAGGTAATACACAATGGTTGTTGGTTGAGGTTTGGAGCGGTGAGCTCCCTTAACGTTCTCGTTTCGAGAGCCATAGTTGTTGGCTCTTCAGGCTCGCTAGATTGAGAACTAGCACTTGATGATTCCTCCGAAGAAGTATTTGGAAATAAATTCCTAAACCTTTCGAAGGCTTGTTCCGTGTGGGGGGTTGTTTGGTAGATGATTTCGTTTATAGATCGGGTTCTTACCATATACTCAAACAAAGCTCAGAAGAAGTAGAAATCTTTATACTTCAACTATTTGTTTTTCTTTTTTCTTTAAAATGAAATAAAAAGAAAAATAAATTGCCTTTCCCCGGCAACGGCGCCAAATTTGACGTGCACTTTGTCGTGAGTGCACTCAAAATAAATACAATACAACAAATATACGTAGTATATTGAAGTAAGGTTCGTATCCGCAGGGAAAGGAATACTTCTCTTTTTATGTAAATAATAAGTAAAGGGGGTTTTGATTGAGTGATTTAATTAAAATTGAACACGAAGATGAACGAGTTATGTGGTTTAATTTAAAGATAAAAGAGACTTGGTATTGCTATTTTACACTTGTTGATATATTTTAGTCGATCATTGTTATATCTATAACTTATCTCCTCTCGAATACTCAATCGAGGAGTATATCCAATTCATCGAGGATAGTTATTAACAACGACCGTTCATTAATAACCCTTACTATTAGTCAAGTATAGAACAAGCGTCGTATACCGACTTGATAGTAGCATTTAATCGCTTAACTCATTGATGAAATCAATTGAGATCGATAACCTCAACACAAGCGGTTTCGGTTTAACCAACACAATTAATTCCTCTTAAATCTATTAACCACAACCGTGCATTAATAGACCGAAGTTACTTACTTGTGAAACTATCAACGATTAACCATTGGTTCGTTGATCGTTTCTAGTAGTAATTAATATATGAAACAAAACTAGTTGATCCTTTAAGTAATGTTCAAAATATTAATATGAAATATGAATAGGAATTAATTAATACTCAAGGAAGAATATTAAAAGGGAATGAATCCTACTATAGTTAAATATCAAGATGTTAACTAATTGTCATCTTAGTAACACTCCCCGATATTAACATAGAGGAAGGAATAGCTATTACTAAAACCAATGTCAAGATGTTAACTAATTGTCATCTTAGCAACACTCCCCAACATTGATATAGAAATAGTATTTGAAGGAAGAATTAATATTCAAGGAAAGAAGTTAAGAAAATAACTCACAACTTTAATAATCAACAAGCTTCAAGAGCAATACCAAGAAATGGAAGTTTAGCTCCTCATTTGGAGACTAAACATGCTAAAAGAAATATAGAGAAATGCTATTCGAAACTGAGCTTAAGAGTATAAAGGAATTGGTGTCCTAAAGTGAAGGAAAGGAGGTGTATTTATAGGCTTTTTGGAGTGCAGGCCGAGTACTCGATCGAGTATGTACATATACTCGATCGAGTATGTGTAGAAACCTGAATTTGGTCAATACTCGATCAATACTCGAGTAGATTTTATATGTATACCCGATCGAGTATGTCGGTGTACTCGATCGGGTATGACAATAGAACGTGGCCAAATCTTTCCTTGCATGTTCATTTGTTCCCGGATCGGATCCTTGAAAATCAGTATTGGTACTCGATCGAGTATAAGGTATACTCGACCGAGTATACCCCAAAATCAGGAGTTTTTCCTTCTTTTTGTCTTCTACTCTTGCACCTTCCTTCACCTTTGATCATTTGATTGATCTTGGACCTGTTTAAGCTCAGAATAAACCTAATCTAAACAAATTACAAGAATTTAACAAACTAAACTATTACACCGAAAGTGTGTAATTTCCGAAATATTAAACAACCAAAACTAACTAAAAACGTAAATAAACACACGGAAATTACAAACGTATCACGGACGGAAAAGGAAAAATGGGACAATTATAGTGGAATGGAGGGAGTAGTCATACAAAGGATCAAATATATTAGAATAATGAATAATGATTTATAAATATAACATATATGAAAAGATAATTGTTGTTTTCACAATATCTTGCTTATTGTACATATGCTGAAATGCATCACTCTTATTATTGTCATGTATTAAATTTATCTAAATTTAAGGAATGTAATTAAATATAAGCATACCTTGATCATTGAGATTATTCCTATTAGTAGTGTAAAGTATATCATCACATAGATAGGACCAACACTTCTACCAAACCATGTCGGGCATAGACAATGACTCTTGTAACAAAAGATGAACAAATGTAATCTGAAGTTCATGTGTTGTTCCCCGGTGTCTTATTTCTATAAGTCCATCTACATACTCTTTATCGTCATTGAACATACTACGGGCACAACAAGCTTCTTTGAAGGTGGCATGTGTTGTTCTGTCAACTGTCCTCAGTTCTTCAAAACTCCTAGGCCCCTTCACGACACCAAAGATCACCCTCAAATAATATTTCTCCCCGACTCCTAAGCGCGTGAAATATAGTCTCTCAATTGCGGTGCTTCTTTGTAGTGGTACCCACTCTCTTGTTTTGTTTTTCCATGTCACGTGAACGTGGTAGGAAATTCAGGATAAGTCAAATTTCCCAGTAGCGTATTTCTATAAGTTAATTGTTCTGTCAACTGTCCTCATTTCTTCAAAACTCCTAGGCCTCTTCACGACACCAAGGAACACCCTCAAATAATATTTCTCTTAGGCATGTATCGTTCCGTCAACTATCCTCAGTTCTTCAAAACTCCTAGGCCCCTTCACGAGACCAAGGAACACCCTCAATAGTCTTTCTCCCCGACTCCTAGGCGCATGAAATATAGTCTTCCAATTGTGGTACTTCTTTTTAGTGGTACCCACTCTCTTATTTTGTTTTTCCAGATGAACGTGGTAAAAAATTCATCGTAAGTCAAATTCCCCAGCGTAAGTTCATGCGTTGTTCCCCAGTGGCTTATTTCTATAAGTCCATCTACATGCTCTTTATCGTCATTGAACATACTATGGGCACATCAAGCTTCTCTAGAGGGGGCATGTATCGTCCTGTCAACTATTCTCAGTTCTTCAAAACTCCTGGGCCCCTTTACGACACAAGGGAACACCCTCAAATAATATTTCTCCGTGACTCCTAGGCACGTGAAATATAGTCTTCCAATTGCGGTGCTTCTTTGTAGTGGTACCCACTCTCTTATCTTGGTTTTCCAGGTGAACGTGGTAGTAAATTCAACACAAGTCAAATTTCTAGTTTGAGGATACAAAGTGTTTTGCATGCATCCAAGCTAGAAACTTGGTAGCGTAGATAGTAGAACATCTAAAAATTGAACTGACAAATTGTTCAGGATTGTAGTATGATGTGAGTTTTCTTGCACTTAAAATAAATGTAGTAATATAGGGTATACGTACGAGTATCATCTCCATAGGGACAAGAAAAGGTAATTAAGTATTAAATAAATTTAGTGACTAAAATAAATAGAATAAATGTGATGTGCGATATTTGATTTTTTGGAATTAATTACAGTGAATACAAAGCTAAATCAAATGGCTCTTTCCAACTAATGACAAAAGCGAAGCATGGATTGATTCCAGGGGCAACTAAATTTTGGGGTGATGAGGCTTAAACACACGAAAATTATTTAATTGAGCATTGCATGTCATGTAATACCCCGAAAATTTGAAGAACATTTAAATCATGTTTCATATCGTTTTGAAGGGTTCTAGATAGGTTATGATGTTTAGGGTGATGTTCGGGACCAAGGGGAGGTCCAAAGGGGGGAGAAACGGAGCAAAAACTAAGGTTTTGGATGCCTGGGAAACCTGCTCGGCGTGCGGGAAAAATCCGCTCGGCATGCGGACTTTCACAAATTTCGACCCAGGGTTCTTTCAGGTCTGCTCATCGTGCGGGTAACACCCGCTCGGCGTGCGCACCCTGCTTTATCCTAATGCGACCCAAACTTCGGAAATTCACTATAAATACATCTGTAATCTGATTTTCCTCATTCCAAAAACCTTAGGACCGCCTCTTCAAGCTCTATATCTTCCAGCCCTTAAATATTAACATATACAACACGATTTTTGAAGCCAAGGTCGAGATCAAACAATCCAATCTTCCGGTAAGTGCGTTTGTTGCCTAATTCGCATCATTTACCCGTTTTCTTGATTTCTTTCTCCTAAATTGTGATTCCTCGACCCTATAACTTCCTAGGGACGTGTGAGTGACTTCTCAAGCTAGGTTTGACGTTTAGTATTCATTGCTAGCCTCGAGGTAATGATTATTGCAACCAAAATTACTACGATATGAGTTTGTGCTATTAATTAAGGTTTGTGCTATGATATGAGTTTCTTTCTGAAATTTTATGAATATTTCGGTTATTATAGTATGGATATGATGATGTACGATTTTCTAGGAATATATGAACATGTGATTTTTGGTGAATTTATCAAATCAATTTGCTATGACTATAATTGTGATTTTTGAGGAATTGTTCTTTTGGATTGGAAAATTGTGATGATTGTTTTGGTATGAGTTGAAGTATGATTTGAGATTATTATAATTGGTTATTGTGAAAATATATTCTGTGTTTAGGATACCCCAGTTGGATTATTTTTGTGGTGGTAGTAAATGCTACTTTTGGGAAGTGGTGGTTTGGGTTAAACCTTTTTTTGGGAAGTTTTGTGAGATCAAATCTTTTGGGACAAAGTATATATTTTTAAAAGTATAATTTGGTATGAATATTTACATATATGTTCTGGAGTTAGAAACATCCTTATTGGATTATTTTGAATATGGTATTAAATACTATTTTGGAACAAGTATCTAAAGAGTGATTTGAAGGACCTATTCATAAACTCTGCTGTTCAGATTGATGTATCTGGAAACTGCAAAGCTGTTGTGATCCATGTCCCATATAGACTAAGGAAAGCCTACCGGGAGATACATCTTAGGCTTGTCAGGGAGCTCGAGAAGAAGTTCAGTGGGAAGGATGTTGTTGCAGTTGCCACACGAAGGATCGTGCGACCTCCCAAGAAGGGTGCAGCTGTACAGAGGCCGCGTTCCCATACACTTACAGCTGTGCACGAGGCTATTCTTGAGGATCTGGTGTACCCGCTGAGATTGTTGGGAAGCGCATCAGATACAGACTTGATGGGTCAAAAATAATGAAGGTTCTATTGGATCCGAAGTTCAGGAATGACACAGAATACAAGTTAGAAACTTACTCTGGTGTCTACAGGAAGCTCTCCGGAAAAGATGTAGTCTTTGAGTATCCCAACACCGATGCGTAATTGCCATTTCACTTTTTTGAATATTTCTGTTTGATACACATCTTTAATTTAAGAATGTCTGCTTTCATTGCCTAGGCTCTCTGAAATTTTGACTATTGACTTTTATGTGTGGACATTTACTTTCTAAGTTGAGTATTTATGAATGTTGGAAATACCATGGGCTGTACTGTCGAATGGGAAAATTTGTATTTTTGTTTAAAAAAAAAAATATTTTGAAAAAAAAACTATTTTGGAACAAGTTTTGGGTAAACCCTAATTTGTGAACTTTGACTTTGAATTGGAGATGGTTGGCATATGATTTTGAGACCTGAATCTGAAATAAATATTTTGAGAAAGTATTTTGAAGTTAAGTGATATTTGAGTAACCTATGAATATGTGTTCATAATGATAAGTGAATTAATCTATGAACCATGTGTTCATAATGATAAGTGAAGTAATCTATGAACTGTGTGTTCATAATGACAAGTGGAGTAATCTATGAACCATGTTTTCATAATGATACGTGGAGTAATCTATGAACCATGTGTTCATAATGATATGTGAGTAACTTATGAACTTTATGTTCATAATGATAAGTTGAGTAATCTATAAACCATGTGTTCATAATGATATGTGAGTAACCTATGAACTTTATGTTCATAATGATTGGTGGAGTAATCTATGAACCATGTGTTCATAATGATAGACGGAGTAATCTATGAACCATGTGTTCATAATGATATGTGAGTAACCTATGAACTTTATGTTCATAATGATAGGTTGAGTAATCTATGAACTATAAATTCATAATGATCTTTACAGTGGAGTATTCTATGAGCAACATGTTCATAATGATAGGCAGGGATGGATTTAGGGGGGGGGGGGCGACCGCCTCCCTTGGACATTCAATTTTTTTTTACCATATATGTAATATTTTTCATAAAACTTTCATAATTTAATTAGATTCGCCCCCCTTAGCTTTTAATTTTCAAAATTAAAAATATATATGGTCTTACATAATGTAATACTTAATTGAAGATTTAAAAGAAGAAACATCTAAACTAATTTACATAACTTAAACAAATAAACAATAAAGTAACTCGTTATTTAAGATTTAGGATACTTATTATATAAGAATTCCTAGTTTTGTAATGTTTAATTATCTTTATTAGATAACAAGTACTGGATTTAGTAAAACATATATCAAACAATATTAAATACCAAACACACTAATTACACAATTTTTAGATCACGTGAAATGAATCCAAAATATAAATATTTATAGACATTAGATTACATAATTCATTTACTTCTTGCTTTCTAAAAATAATTTATTGCATGGATAATAAACTCTAAATTATTATAGAATTAATAAAAATATTAAAATATAATATGCACCATATATATGTGTGTGTGTATGTATGTGGTGCATATCATTCCAAAAATAACAATCTCATACATACTAGTATACTACTATTGTAATATTAAGAAAACTTCTCATGAGTCATGACTCACGAACACCCTCCTTGGTAGACAAAAATTACAATTCAATAACCGATTCATGAGGTTAAACAATGTAGAAGTTATTAAAAATGTATTGGTTGATGTCTTTGTCATCGTCTAAACTTAGAATGTAATAGATTTAAATGTCGTTCGGGATGTGCAGGTATTAATGTCATTTTTTGAATAAAAATAGCCGCATAGCCCTACAGTAGCGAAAAAAAATTGCCCCGCTATACTAGGAAAAAAAATTCACCCCGCTACACTAACAAAAAAAATTCACCCTCTACACTAACGAAAAATTTCGCCCCCCTTGACTCAGAATCCTGGATCCGTCCCTGATGATAGGACTGGTACACAACTCGGGTATTCATGTAGTTTGGATAATATTTTTGAATTGAAGAGTAAATGGTTTTGGAGAATTATTCGTGGATAAGTATTTATTGGAATATGAAATCTATATGAATAAATATTTATAAACTATTTTGTTGAATCTCAAAGGTTGTTTTGAATGGTGAATGTGCTTTTAAACTTGAAAATTGTATTTTGTGAACTAAATGAATATTTGAATCTATACGTTAAGTATCAAAACTATTTTGCCAAATTATATTATTTTACAGGGTTGGGTAGGTGTTGGGCCTGCCGCGGGTCTGCGGTCAGCAATCTGCCAGCCTGCCGGTGCAATCGGACCGCGTGGCGCTTTGCCTGTTCTATAAAAGGGGGAAGGGCGTGCTACACTATCAGCGATTGCTTTTAGTGTAGCGGTAAGCGCAACGATCCACAGTAGGTCTTACTTAGCTAAAAAACTAATTTTTGTGTCTTTGTCTTTGTTTTTTTTTCTGCACTTTATTTGGTGCAGGTGATGAGGATTATGCATGATGATGAGAGCTGCGTTAGATCACGTAGTTTATTAGTTATTATTCACCTAGTTACTATTTATTTTAGTGTTGAGAACATGTAGACAATTATATTGTTTTTGAGATTTCAGCACTTATACTTGGATTATGGTTGCATTGTGGTTTAGCCTGTGCATTCGGTTATGTGAGAACCGAGTGTGGCGGTAACACCCATTGAATATTATGCTTCCACTGCAATTTAAACTCTTTTGAATTAATGTTTTGAGAAATTCTTTCTACACTTGTTATAATTAACACCTATTTCGGGTATAAATTTGGGGGTGTTACAGGTCAATACTAAGTTCTTACCGCTCTTGCATAATAAAGTACAACAATTTAGAGAACCAGTCCAATCTCTCATTCGACAAGTTTCTAAGTTATTGCCAAAACGAATGAGCGTATGGCTCCCTGATTGCTACTAATCTTGACGAACGATTAGGTGTGTGTGAAGGTGTCCTAGATTAATTTATATTTCCCTTAAATTATTTATGTGCAATTATAATCCTAGCGACCGTTGCAGGTTACAGAACATATCAATCAAATGATTCAAACACAAATTAAATGATAATCACGCATTTAAACAGTTAAACCCTCAAGAACGAACCCTGTATTATGTTTAATATCTCCTTCATCAATCACAAATCCCTAATTAAAACTAATCACAATTCATAATTGAAAGATCAATAGAATTGAGAAGGAAAAAAATTAATTGTCATTATTTAAAAAGAAAAAACTTACAAATAATCGTAACATCTTGATGATCCAAGGCTAAAAAGCAATAGAAAATTCATTCTAGGCTCTCTTTCAAAGCCAGTCTCCTTAAAAATGTGGTTTAAAGACGGTTTCAATAGAAAAATAGTGAAAAGGCCGAGTTTGGGTTTTTTGGGGCGAAATGGGACGACGTATGGTCTCACGCACGTCGTGTGCGTGGCAAAGATTTTAGTAAAAACATGCACGGATGCACGGGTCATGCGCGCCTCGTGACGCATGGCATGCGCACATCCCATCCGAATTTGGCTATGCGTCATTCAACAAACTTGTAGCTAATAAAGTCCTCTATCCACCACAACTTGAAAAACTGGAATTGGATCATACAAAAAACAATATGGATGAAATGGTGGAAGGTCGTGTCTTGAAATCTCAAGATCGAACGATGATCTGAATTCCTTGTATGTTTTCACCTTGATGCTTTCACATTCTCATCATGGTGTCTTCATATGATTTGTAACTCATTGAGTTATCTTTCATATGAAACTTGAATAGTTTCATTTGAATTTTTCTACAAAAGGATATGCTCAAATGGTTGACAAAGAGTCATCCTGATTCAAGGTTGCGAGTTAGATGTGGTCCAAATAGCCATTTCTCATACTTGATTCTTGATCTCTCCCTCGACTTCAAAATTACTCTTTTAATGTCTTGTGGACCTTAATTATTTCTCAACAACTCTCACATGTGTCTCAAATGTCTCGAATAATTCTTCAACGCTGGTGCTAGGCTCACTTTCCTGATTTTTACTCCAAAAACATCAATTGCAAACCAAAACCCGGTAAAACTATGACTTGAGTTGTTAGGTGCTTTGTAACCCATTTAAATAAGGAAAATTGGCAAAAACAAATCCCAGCACGCATCAAATGCGCGTTGAAATATGAACATATCATAGCACATACTATGTTGTCTCGGGAAATGAAAGCTAAGACATTCAACTTAATGTCCTTGTAATGAATGTGGAATCCAAAGATTCTCCAAGCCGCTTCACATGCAGAGATCTATCGACAATTGTAATACATTTTGATCTCATCAACCTTTTTCGGCTTGCGCTTAGCTTGTCGGATGGCTCAGTGAATGCCATTGTGATCCAATCATTTCCCTTATTGATGCATGTACTTGAAGATGTATTTCACTGCTCGAATTTGGTTACACCACTCATCATTAATATGAGTTCCATACTTGAGCAATAATGTATGATTACGAGGGATGACAGATCTATTGTCAAGAGAACTCCCATTCTTCAATACATGCACTCCTATTGTCTCTTCGTCTATAAATAGGAAACCCACTTCCATAAATTGTAGTACGTCTCACAAATATCTTCGGAAAGTGTTTGGTGCAGCGACCCTTATCCATACCCGGTGAATATGAGTTCAGAAACCAACAAGGCCCGTGCACCATTAACTCTTTTACAACATAATAATCTTGGTCACATTTCTCATCCGGAATCTCAACTGAAATGATGTTGTCGATGTCTGATGTCGATATAGCCACATGTGATTATTGATCATTATGAACAAAAATGTGATTTTTCAATTTATAGTGATTCTAATCATGTATAAATCTTAAAATGATCATAAAATTGTACTCATAGTAAATTTAATTGCATTCTTGTTAACAAGTTTCAATTTAGTAATGTTTTAGAAAAAACTTAATTTTTCTCATAATTTAACAAAGAAATGTCATAAATAAATATAATGTATTAAAAATAATTTTGGAAAAAAGGGCACTTATATAGTTATATGGCTACTTACAGGAACGGATCCAGGATTCTGAGTCAAGGGGGGCGAAATTTTTCGTTAGTGTAGGGGGTGATTTTTTTTTGTTAGTGTAGCGGAGTGATTTTTTTTTTCCTAGTATAGCGGGGCAATTTTTTTTCGCTACTATAGGGCTATGCGGCTATTTTTATTCAAAAAATGACATTAATACCTGCACATCCCGAACGACATTTA